GCACTGCATGCTGTACCCGGCCACATTTGTAAGGATGGGCACGAGAGACAACACATCCTCTGCAGAAATGCAAATATTTCAGCATTGTGGAGAGGGACCAGGAGCCAAAGCAGAGTCCAGTCCTGCTCAGCTCACCCCGAGTTCAGCCCTTAGCTGTGAGCAGAGAGCTCTCTAGAAGGCAAATGAGATCAGCACAKGAAGGGCAGAACCGGGCTCACAGCACGAACTGATGAGCTGCTGTTAAAACTTTCATAACATTTTTATACAATGAGCATTAAGAAGAGGAAACTGTAAATCAGGCTCTCTAGGTCTCCTGCTGTTCTACACTAAGTTTGGTCTGAAGAAAACTCATCTTACTCCAGACACCTCACATAATTTCAGGATTTAAGAAAATCCTGTACTAAACTACGGAGAASTATTTAATGTAGAAATAATTTGCCACTGAGGCATCTGGCAAGATGAAAAAGGAATTTGTTTTAAAGAGCATTTTATATTAAAAACCAATCACTTCTAACAATTACTACCTTTATAGTTAGTCAAAATTCCCCACTTACCCCTTCCTCCACMATTTTTTTTGACACTTGGTAAAAGATGAAGTACTGTGCAATGTTGACAGATTTTTATGTGATCACAGAAGGAGTCAGGTTTTTCTATAATAACCAAGAATAATTGATAGCTACCAGCTGTGTCCACAGGCTCACTCRTGCAGCACATAATGAATTCTTTAACTTATTGTTTTTCAATGTTTCCTTATTACTTCTGGATTTCTTAAAATAATACAAAAGGGCCTTTTTCAAAGTGGAAATAGTTAAATTTACTGACTGCAGCTATGATGGAGAGACTGTATTGTTTGTTTAACTAGGATGACACTGCTCAGAAGTGCCCTCAAAATGCCTACTGTGCAAAAACCACCAAGGGAGGTTTCACAGCCTCACAAATGCATGGCTATGGCAGTGATGAAACATTTACACAAGTGTCAATCAGAGCTACAGCTCAGAACTAGAAAATGGATCACCCCAAAATCCTGCCCAAGCTGACTGCAGAGGGGATTGRGTGACCAAAAGGCAGCTCAGCTGAAGGCTGCAGGTGGAGAGCTCAAAACTGGAGAACCTGTCAGAAATTCCAGCTGGAATGACATCTAAACCAGGATCTAGGGATGGACACTGTCTGAGCCCCTGGCACATCAGCCAAAAGCCAAATCAAACTGAGCTCAAGAGATAAAACAGCCAGAAAAGCTGACAGGGTCAACAGATGCTTGTTTTTAAACCTGAGTCCCTCGTTATAACAGGGCTTTAAAAATGAGAATAGAATTATTTTCTAAACATTTAACATGTTTAAAATCTGAGAACATGTTTGAAGATACAGCTGATTGTCCTGCAGGTGCAGATGTAAAGTTCTTTTCAAATTCATCAGTGATCCTCAGTTGCACATTTTATAACCTGCCGATAGAAATGTGGTTTTGTGTAAGTGCATTACACTGGGGAATGTTACAACATATTCTTGAGAATTTCACATGGAAATCTCCGTGTGCAGTGTGAGCTGATTAAGGGTGTCTGCAGTAAGATCACCACCATATTAATCGCAATCACGCTGGAATATGACAATTCTATTAACATTATTTATATTATAATGAGGGTGTTTCCAAAGGTGACCTCAAAGTCAGTTCTGTTTCAGTTTGATGGGCTATCATGGAGAAGTTTGTTGAAGGGGAAGTTGCTAAAACCTGTCTGATTTAAATAGAAAGACATGCTCTCTCAGCTCCTCAGATGCACAGGCAAGAAATCAGACTCCCCACATGAGATGTGAACACATTAATTCCCATAGCCAACTCTGAGTAGGGATATTGTCTATTGACTTCAATCATATGTGAAGCTAAACATCCATTTCTGAAGTACTTCCAACGCAGAAGAGCAGGAAAAAGTTCTCAGGAAAGCATTTACAGAGTGAAAGAGGATATTTTAAAATGCAAGAATTTGTCATATAATTTTCAACAAACCTTCCTCCTTGACATTTACCCAAACTGACATTAGTTTYGCACTAGCTGAGGTCCGACATCGGAATTGTCCAGCAAATTGAGCAGAGCTGGTGTTCACCTCTAGGACACGGCCCCCAGCCAGGCTTCTGTAGTCCAGAAACTCAACTCCCTCGATTGGGCTGTCCCCAAAGAGCCACTGCACGGCATTTCTGGACCTGGGCARCACCGGGCACCCTGGAAAACAGCAGCATTTCAGCAGCGTGTTCACCACTCCAAATAAAAACAAGAATAGCATTTCAGCAGCATCTTCCAAACACTCTGAAATGGTCATAAACAGCAATATATGAGTGTGGGATTCTATATAAAAGGGCATTGCCATTCTAAATAAAAATAAGAATAGCATTTGAGCAGCATGCTCCAAACACTCTGAAATGGTCGTGAACAGCAATGGATGAGTGTGGATTCTACATAATTTAGGATGGCATTACCATCCTAAATAAAAATAAGAATAGCATTTCAGCAGCATCTTCCAAACACTCTGAAATGGTCATAAACAGCAATATATGAGTGTGGGATTCTGTATAAAAGGGCATTGCCATTCTAAATAAAAATAAGAATAGCATTTCAGCAGCTTGTTCCAAACACTCTGTAATGTTGGTAAACAGCAATATATGAGTGTGGGATTCTATATAAAAGAGCATCACCATCCTAAATAAAAACAAGAATAGCATTTCAGCAGCGTCTTCCAAACACTCTGAAATGTTCATTCTAAATAAAAACAAGAACATGCATGAATYGAAGTGTGAAGTGCAAGCTGCAGCCCCAAATCCTGGCTGCCCCTGGAGGGGATCAGCTCTGGGAGCTGCTGTGTACTCACCACACTCCTTCAYACATCATTGCCCTTTCTGTAAATTCTTACAAACTTCTACAGCAGCAAAGTGGAAGGGGGGAACAATGATTTAACTGCAATGAAGATTTCATCCCAAACTCCTCAATATGCAAATRGGTCTGTAATTAAAGACCTTCTATCTGTTTGGGAAAGGAGTCATACACATATTAAATGAAATTGCTGCATTTTCACTCCACAGGCACAGGCAGGGATGGAAAKAGAGACATTCATCAAATGGGGAAAAGCCACAAACACTGTGGAGCCCAGCTGAATCCCTTCCACTCCTTCAAGTGAAGCTCAAATATTAATTGCATGGCTTTAATGTCAGGGGGTGTCWCCTCAATGTGTTAAGGGAAGCTAGTTTTTGAAAAGTGAATTWAAAAAAAGTGATTGTGTGTCTTAATCTAAGGCCTCCCCCCGGTAACTGAGCACTGAGTGAGAGTCAAGAAATCCAGGTGGTCACCAAACCTGGACTTTTGGGAATTGCACTCACTTTTTCATTGGGGGCCCTTCTGTTTTAATAAAACAAATAAATAATGTTCATGCAAAAGCATTAAAGACAACACACCTATTCTCAGTGTGTCTCCAGGTACCACAGTGACATTTGTACCAAGCCCAGATGCCATCAGGACACGCTTTCTTCTGCTTCCCTTCAATAATTGAGTGTTATTCTCTGTAAGTCTTGGTTCTGTAACACAATGCATAAGATTTCTTCTCAGCAAGAATTAAATCATGATGCCAAAAACCATTTCACATCAAARTATCCAGCATGCTAGTTATGAAACAGTCACAGAAGCAGTTTGAATTCTTTCTGATCAACTCCATTTATGCACTTAAATTATCCATCTAACAAATAAACTTCAGGTATGTGTACAGGGAAACAGAAATTATTTATGTTCGTGCAAGTTTCTGAATCAATCAAATTTATTGCACTTATTAGAAAAACAGGCCTGTAACACTTAATGTAAAAACAAGATTTACAGGATGTATTTCCTGTTTTTCAAGACAATRTTATTTATTATTCCATTACATACAGAAATTGTAAGAAAAAAATAGCTCTCAGTGGAACCCAGCCAATTTGTCTGTTCCATTAGATGGAATTATGACRAAGTGTTACAACAGAAAAAAAGAAGAACATCTTTTAAAATCACATTATGCATAGAGATAGCATAATGAATGCAGAGACAAACGTCCATCACTATAGCAACTCCTCCTTTTTATCACATGCTGGCAGAATAACTGCCAAAAACGGGGGCAATCTGTCAGTAACACACAGTGCTCRCCACTCACTCACTCAACATTTCTGTAGTAATGAATGCACATGACATCTACGATTCTCCCTCCACAWGAGTTTAAATCTTTTGCTCTGTTACAGCTTCTCTGGGTCATTTTACACTGAGCCAGAGCAATCTGTGAGTCCTGACAGCAGAACTCCTCCTGTTCCACTGCAGCCTCACACAAAAACTTGCAGAATTTGGCCCTCTCCTACCCACRTTGCAGGGCATGATTGTATTGCACAGTGTTACATCATTCATCTGCTCACAATAGAGGCATTTACACCGAGGTTTTTTTACATTTTCTATTCTGAGAGTTAGCAGTTCATAATCAGAAAATTTTCTTCTCCATGTCCCTACATTTTATTGGCCTCTCTAATTAAAAAAAAAAACCAAACACCAAACTCCCAAAAACCAGCCCCTGCTTTCATTTCCCTGCAGATTTTCTGCCTGKTTCTCCAGGGAAGCACTGGGAACAATGTAACATGACAGTGGGTTTAGCTTTGATGTGTCAGGTTTAGGGGATGATCATTTATTGCCTGGAATCGAGATGGAACAACCTTGAAGTCACAAGAACCATCTGTACCTGGATCCACATTGCAGGGAACACAAAGCACAGAACATCTCCCAGGGACTCAGATGCAATCACAAATTCCAAATTCTAATAAACTGTTGAATATCCCAAATATTTTCCTGTTCAACTTTGGTTATAAAGGTCCTGACTGTTGTTATCAGTAAGGAATTCCCATTTAGCACTTACCAGTTATGTGGAGAACAGATGCAGCCTCAGCTTTTCCGAGAGCATTGGTTGCTCTGCAAATGTATGTTCCTGCATCTCTGTAGGAAACATTCCTCAGGAATAAGGAGCCATTCAAAACCGAGAAAGAATCCATTTGGAAAATGCCTTTCTTCTTCAGCCACGTTACATTTGGTTTGGGAACACCTTTAGGATGAAAAGAATGGAAACATGGTGAGAGATAAGCCATAGGGTTTGTATCGCTAACTGCTTCCGTGGCATCCAAAAATCCCGAGTCCTTTTGTCATTTCATGGAGTGAAAACCAAAATGACAACATTGCAGTGAAACAAGCAGTGTTTACACACAAGGAAACCTCATCTGGGAGCTGGGGGACATTTGGGAGTTGAGGGATGACATTTGGGAGCTGAGGGGGGACATTTGGGAGCTGAGAGGGGACGTTTGGGAGCTGAGGGATGACATTTAGGATCTGTGGGATATTTGGGAGCTAAGGAGGCACATTTGCGAGCTGAGGGATGACATTTAGGATCTGGAGGACATTTGGAAGCAGCAGCCACAGCGATGTTGACACAGCCTCCCCTCCTCACAGATCATCCATCGGGCGGTGTAACTTTACACAATATCTTCATGATGTGCAATGGCCTCTAGGAACAACTTTCACATTTCAATCACTGGCTTAGCACTTGCAGTGCACACCTCAGGTTTTTCCTTGGCCCTAAYAGGAACCAGACACGTTTTTTGGAAGCTGCAATTTCAGCAAAGGGAAAAGCTGCCCCCGCCATTTTGTCTGGAAAGGCAGCGGAGAGAAACTCTATTCCATGCAATCCCAGATTTTATTCTAGACAATTCAGAGCTTTTAAATCCATGCAGCATTGTGTTTTACTCAATAAAGATACACAAAACAAGATTTGCAGATTGTGTAGGGCTCCAAAAACCAGGCTGTTTTTCGAGTTTCTTGAAGAAGCTTTATGCCACTTCAAAAAATCCTTTTGGAATCAGGACGAGGTCTTGTTTTAAGGGTCTTTTTTCCATTCTACCMAGATTTCTGGCTGAAGWGTATCATTCTCAGACRTATTTTTCCTTTACAGTTACTTTCCACAGCCATTCAGGCGTCCACACTCACTCTGCAGAGGGGCAGAGGGGTGGTGTGAGGGGCTGAGCTGTTTTACCCCAAGGCAGACTGCCCTCACTGGCACCAGAACCCAGCGCCAGGCAGAGCCAAAAAGAAGCCAGAAGCAGCACAGCTGAGATGGGACTGAAATAAAAAGGTTCAAAGTCAAATTCCACAAAACAAAGAAGCATTTGGAATGGTTCAAATTTAAACTTTTAACCTGAGCCTCTATCAAACGTCAGCCCAGTATCACCTCATGGTAGTCCTCCCTCTGCTCTCATGACAGCATTCAGAAATGTAGCTCATTCCCAGGATTTAACTGAAGTCAAATATTTTTCTTCCAAGAGTTTTATATCTTAGAGCTATCCCCGAAAAGCTGCCCTGTCTCTGTTCTCCTGTGTGAGTCTGACCCCCAGACGTGTGGAGCCCTTTAAAACGTGAGCTGGAGCTCAGTTTGCACAAGACATCTGCACAATAGCTTTGCCACTCATTTGGAGTCCAAAACTGGTATTTGTCACACACCTTAAACACAAGATAGAGCCAAAGATTGCTCCTCCTTTCTCCAAAGAGTCACATTCGTGTGTGTGCAGGGGGAACAAGTGAGTAATGCCACACACGAGTGAAATAAATCCCACTGAAATAAATCCCACTGAAATCAATCCCACTGAAATCAATCCCACTGAAAGCACAGCAGCACTTTACACATGAACTGCACTCTGGGGTTTTCCAGCAGCTGATCCAGAGGGGGGAAACCCTCAGGGTGCACCCAGAAAGGGAAGCTGAGCTCCAACTGCACTGGGAATAATCACAACACTCCTGCACTGCATCAAATAGAAATGATTTTATAATCATTTTRTAATAATTCATGGTTTGATCCCCAGACAGTAGGAAAAGCAGGAGGAGGAAGAGGTTAGAGATGGCCTGGAGCCACCTTTGTCTCCTTGCCACCCCATCTCCAGCAGAWGGTACCAACTCCCCAAAGTGCCAAAGGTTCCCGAGTGCAGTAACAATCCCAGGGATTCAAATGGGAGATCATCACTGCATCCCAATTGCAGCAGAATCAAACAATCATTTCCAAGTCAGGAAATCACTYAGGCATGAGACTAAATCCATCCCTATCAGGGAATGCAATTAAACACAYAGTTAAAATTCAGGATGGCTGAAATTGTCCTTCATGAGCAAAGATGCATTCCTGAACTCAGGCCTTCTTAGTCTTAGAAAAASCTTRAAAATGCAAATCTTACTCTTGCAAYGGATCTAAATCCTCTTWAAAAGTTCCACTATAGACCTAAGTGGCTATAAAACTTTAAAATTAGTTTAATCTATTTTTCTGACCTCAAACACAGGTTATTTTCCACTAGCACTGGAGCAGCTCTACGATACTCAATGTTCCATGAAAAAAGTCATTTTCCACCACGAGTGGCCCTGGGACAGCAAATGTTATGGAAAAAAACTCAAGCTCCGGATGAGACTGCAAAACACGTGTTTAAAAAAAAAGGGGGAAAAGAGGAATCTGCACTATAGGGTGCCCTTAAAATATTCAGTGTTCAAAAACAAATTTCCTCCAACCTTGAAAGCCCTGTGAAATATTACACACCATAAAAATCTTGGCTACTAACTACTTGCTCTAAAACATTGGATATGCCTTCAGAAATTTTTCCCCCAGCTATGTAGAATCTCATAAAGTATTCTGAATTTCCCATTCAGGAGCAAGGCAGACCTGTGCTGGCACAAGACACGTTTTGCTGCACTTCACTGCAAGTTTACCTTATTTCAGAGGCTAAATCTGCATGTCAGCTTGCAGAGGAAACAATTCTGGGCTGAATTGAATGTCAGCTGATTATTCTGTACCCACAGGATGAATGTCACCTTGATTATTCTGTACCCACACGATGAATGTTACCCCCTTACTGTGTACCCACAGGATGAATGTCACTGATTATTGTGTACCCACACGATGAATGTTACCCCATTATTGTGTACCCACAGTATGAATGTCACTGATTATTCTGTACCCACTGACACCCCATGCACTGAGCGTACCCCACAAAGCAATTCCTGCCACCCAAACCTTTCCCACTTTGTCCAGCAGAGTTCTCAAACTGCCTTTGCTTTTACCTGAATTATCTTTGGGCAATCAGCTTCTAGTGAACCTGAACAGCCTGAACCTGCTGCTGCTGCTGCTGCTGCAATCACCTGAAATCACCAGGAACAGCCGGCTGGAACAGAGCCCCAGGGTGGGAATCCTGGCACCAGGGATCCCTCTGACACTGCCCCTGTCTCTGCTGCTTCCTGCCAGCCCCACAGCAGCTCCTCTGGCTGGGGGCAGCAGAACCTGGCAGCATTTTGGGATCCCACCAACATCTGGCCATCTCCTCAGAGGGGWTCCCAAAGCAAGACCTTCCCACCGATTCCTGCTGCAGCTCTGCCGCGCTCTGCTGAGTTCGTGGCTGTCAAAGAGAGCTTAATCTTTTTTCCAGCTGCAGAAGTTTGTAATGCTAATATTTTTCAGAATCAGGCATTTAAAGCAAGCAACTGTATTCAGCAATTACTGACTGCCAGGCTGTTCTGCAGTGGGTACCCAGCAAAGGCTCAGTTGGTGTTTGTGAGGCACTGCCATGCTCAGCTCTGCCCAAATGGACTTTCACTTCACTGGAAAACTGCCCTGCATCACCAGGGACCCAAACATTGATCAGCACAACGCAGGTACACGGGCATGGACTGTGAAAATGAGATTTGATCAGAGATTCAATCTCTAGAGAAGAGCTGCTATCCTCAGTTAGACCTGATGCCCACTCAGCTCTGCCCTTGGTGTTCAGCAATGGGCGCCTGGGGCTGTACAGGCAGAGTTCAAAATCATGGCACTCTTTAAATAACCCTTCCTCAACATCCCTTCCAACCTTCCAGGAGCAGAAGCAGCTTTTAGATCATGCCYGTTTGCTCTAATATTGTCCTTCTTTCTACATCTTCTAGCTCTGCTCTGTCATTCTTAAAATGAGATTAGCAAGGTGCACACAGAATTCATMACAGCTTTAAGGAATGGCCAATTTCTGTTTTCTAATATTTCGTCCATTCCTCTTGACAGCTTTTTGCAAACTGAAGTAGG